CGGAGTTATGGGTTCACACAGGTCGGTATGTATCAACTCCAGAGGCTGTTTAGCCCGGTATCTTGCCATTCTCTGGAACGGGCTTCTTGCGTGCTTACCCAGCACACAATCTTCACAGAACTTTCTTTCAGAATTTATCTTTGGCAGTCTCACTACTATGTTCTTCTTCATCAGCTCGGCTAGACCACTGTAATGAAGGTGTCCAAATCGTCGATGCCACAGAGACATCTTATCCTCCACCTCGGCTTGAAGATAGCCAACCTCCACGCTCCTCAAACTCAACTTGTACATTCTGTTCTTTTTCATATGAACTCGGGCTATCAGACGCCCTTGTTTATCTTTTAATAGTAGAACTCGGTCTGTCATTAGAATCGAGTAACCTTTCTCCATCAACTGTCCAATGCTCAAAATGTTACTTTTGAGCTCGGGCACATAGTACACATCCCGAATTGTTCCAACTCGTCCATCCTTTTGTAGAAAGCAGACCGTGCCACGACCTTTCACATCAATTTTGGACGCGTCTCCAAAAGAGACATGTCCGGCTTCCACTGTTCACAACTCTTTGAACAAATGTTTGTAACCACACATATGATTACTGACACCAGTATCCAAGTACCTTTCTGTTTCACTCTTCGAGCTAGTTTCACCATGTGCTAACATTTGAACTCCTCCATTTCTTATTTCTCCTTCTGCAGCGAAGTTTGAAGTCTCGTCAACTATTCTTTCATCTCGGCAATCTTTAGCAAAATGCTCGACTCGGCCACAGTTGTAGCATCTGTCCGAGTTGCAATCTTTTGCGTAGTGACCATACTTGCTACACTTATAACATTCTATATTACTTTGATTCGACCACCGGCCACTTCCACCTCGGCCACGTCCTCTACCTCTCCAGTTTTGCTGACTCGTCTCAGCTCTTTCTTCGTGTTTCACCTCCTGATCTCGGCCATTTCCACGTCCACCTCGTCCACGACCTCTAACTCAGACATTCTGAGAGTACAACACCTTTTCATCCTTAATTGTTGCTTTTGTCTGGAGTGCTTGCTCAAGAGACTCCTTCTTCTTTTTCTTCTTGCGTTGCTTATGCGTTTCAAGAGAACCAGCTAGCTCTTCAACAGAAAGTGTAGCCAAGTCCTTAGACTCCTCAATTACACATACCACGTTTTCGAAGTCGTCTGTCAATGACCTCAGAATCTTTTCAACAACTCTGGAGTTGATCAACACCTCTTCATTCCGTTTCAACTGGTTCACCACGGTCTGAACCCTGGTGATGAAGTCCGACACTCCTTCGGTTTCCTTCATCTTCATCCCCTCCAACTCTCCTCGAAGAGTTTGAAGTCTGACCTGCTTCACACGGTCCGCGCCTTTGTAGACCGTCTCCAGTATATCTCAGGCCTCATTTGTCGTCGTTACGCCTCCAATCTTTTCAAGACCACCGCTTTTTTCAACAGCTTGAAACATCATAAAGAGTGCCGCTGCATCCTCTGTTCTCGACGCACTGAACTGCTTGAGTTGATTTGTTGAATATCCTTCTGTTGATTCAGGTTCTACGAACCCATTTTGCACCAACCCCCAACTGTCATAGGCTCTTAGAAGAGTCTTCATTTGGATGCTCCAGTTTTCATAGTTCACCTTTGTCAGGCGGGGCACTGACAGACTATTACTCATATTCTCCATTGGCTCAAGCTCTGATAGCAATTTGTTATTTCACAGGCCCTAAAACTGGTGCTTACACACACAAATACACAAGCAATTCTCTGAACATACCTCTATTTTATTACTGATTCTGCCAAGCTATTTTACAAGAGTTACAGTGTGCTATTTATAAGTAATAGCAAATGATTAAGGGTGATAATGACTAACATAGGAAATCTAAACATATTAATTGTCCACTGACAGATACCTAGGGACACACCTCTTCACCATAAACCTTTTATTTTCTATTTTCTTTTATTTAATTTAAAACTTATCCCAACAAAAACGACGATATTTTGGGATTGAAAAATTAAATAATTATAATTATAAAAACTATAATAACTCTGAAATAAATTAAAATTACAAAAATACCGTGATTTTCGGCCCAAAACGACGTGGTATTAAACTTAGTGCATATAATTTATATACAGTAACGGCAGAAAAAACAAACCCTCCTCTCTCTCTCTCTATATATATATATATATATATATATATATTTAAAAAGAGGTAGGATCATTTGACACCGGTGTCAAATTTGAAGTTTGACACCTCATCTGAGAGCCGTTAGATCAAAAAAGATCAATGACATCATATGCTTACAAATCAGAGTCGTTGATCTTTTTTGATCTAATGACTCTCAAATGAGGTGTCAAACTTCAAATTTAACACCGGTGTCAAAGGATCCTACCTCATTTAAAAATGAGATTCCCGCAATTCACGCTTAAATTAGGTTCTTGTTTAGAGCACTATTATGTTATTAGGATAACACAAAAATCACGCGATCAGTGACATTTGTACATTAGCAAAGATAAAAGCAACAACATCACGTGTACAATTTTGCACGTGGTCGTGGAGCATAAGAATTCAGAAGCAACAAATCTAATCTGGATAACCTAAATTCCAAAACTGCCAATATTCAAACATTTGGACAATCTATCTAAAATCGGACCGCCACCCTCTATTTTTAGAGTTTGTGATAAATATAAAATTTTGAAATATAATGTTAGAACGAAGAGATCAATTAAGAAAAGAAAATCGTGTTGAAATTTTATATTAATTAATATTGTTTAACAGAATATGCAAACCAAGCTCCATATTATGACCATTCTTTACAAGCGTGTATCATAAAACTTTCCTTTGAAGGTATGCTGCCATGGAAATTCACAGCTCAAATACATAAAATTAATAATTGACCTCTTAAGTTTTTTTTTTTTAAATTAATGGCTAAACTCATTCTGTTTAATTAATAGATTAGGTTAAAATAATTAAAATATACGTTATAGGTCATCTGTGATTCTGTGCTAATTACCTACTTTACCTGTTCTCCATGCTATTTATAATCTTTTTGCCAACTTGCCTATTAATAATTTACGCAAATTCACATATGTTTCATTACTATATATTCATTATCTTTTTGCTAACTTACATATCAACAATTCAAACCATTTTAATATTTCAACGTGGAATATGACCTATCTTCATAAATATTCATACATCATAATTGACTCAACTGGTAATTAAGCACTATTAAAAATTCTCACCAAATTTTGTAACAAGTTTTAATATTCTTAAAATTTTTATGCTCAATAAGAATAAAAAAGTTTTCATTAATTTGTCGTATATAACAGTATTAAAATCTCTCATCACATGAATATGTTGTTACTTAGACCTATTTGGTATCTCTCGTTAAAAGTTACTTTTAAAATAAAATTAAAAAAAAAAGTGCTTAAAAAATAAGGCTAAAAGTTATTGATGATTATATAAAGTTGTTTTGATTATTTTGAAGAAAGAAAGAAAAAATAATTTACTATTATAATGAATTATTAGGGTAAAGAATAAAATTTATAAATACAAATTTAGAATAAGAGTAAAATTGTAAAATAAATATGAAAAGTAAAAAAAGCTTATATACATCTTAAAAAAAGCTTCTCTTATGACTTTTTAACTTTTAATTTATTTCTTATTATTAAAAAAATTATTTTTATAATAAGAATTTTTATAAAAATATGTTTAACCAAGCTTCTGCTTTTAAAAAAAAAAAAATTTAAAAGTAAGACATGTTAAACTGGCAGTTAATGTTATGAATATTAAGATAGTAAATTCTTGAATTTAATTTGTATATAATATACTATAATATATAAAGTAATAACATACTATTACATTACTCAATGAATTTAATAATATAATAAGTTACCAAAATTATTAAAGAATGTGATAATATATATTAAATATCAATATAATTTTTTTATAGCAATAATATATCAAAATTAAATTATATTTTATATAAACTTCAATTAATTAATGTCAATGATGAATTTAATTTTATAATTTCCACAAAAGCCAGAATTACAGTGGGGCCAATCTTCTCCGTAACTGCGTAGCTCCAATTCAAACTACAACACCAAATGTATTGGTACTTTGTATGATTTTTTTTTGGGGTACAATTGTATGAATTTTTAATAACGAGTAAATTAACCCTGTTATAAACACAAAAAATAACGAGTAAATTAACCCTGTCATTAAGATCATAAGCACTAAACATATCAGATGTCTTATTCTAACGTTTTAAATAAATAAATAAATTTAATGTTATCCAAAAATAAATATATATTTTTGGATACAAAAAATAGATAAACTTAAATATATAGATATGGTAATATCAAAGGTTAATTTAAAAATTTTGTTTAAATTAAACATCAATTAATTCATGGACAATATCTTTTACGTATTTACAAATTTAGAATGAGAAAAAGCACCTCCCTAATTTAAAAGAATGAAAAAAAAGAAACGAAATGAGAACACATTGGTTGTAGTTTTGTTTAGTTTTTCTTGTCAAAGAGGCCGAAGTTCTGGAGATGCAGCGTATCCATCAATCCGCGTCACAACCGCGTGTGCTTTTAGATGGATAGATATCCAAAACAAACACGAACACACCAGTACGATACAATCCCAAATTTATTAAAATCTTAACATATTCGCTAATAAATAATTCAAGATTATGAAAGCACTTATTTTTCCAAAAATTACTAACAATATCAATCAACTAAATCCGGTAAAAATTATCACAAATATATTCTTAAAAAAGAAATGATCGCTTACAAAAATTAAATAAAAATTCAAAAGTAAGGGGCTAGTGAGGACGTGGGTGGGTCCCGCATCACCACCATCTCAGGCTGTCCGGTTCGGTTGAGAAAAATGAGAACTCTCGAAGACACAAGCCTGCCTCTACTTTTCTTTTTTCGTTTTAATTATTTATTTATTTTTCACATTCCTTCTCTCTCTCTCTCTCTGTCTCCTTTTCTCGCCGTTGCCCCTCTTCGTTTTCAATTTGGTCGAGCGAAATCAATTAGAATGAATGATTCCCACACTCCTCTTTCTATTCCTTCGTTTCTCCACCCTGTCAACACACATCATCATCAGCATCAACAACAACCATAATTGATTACCAAAACCCTTTTCTCTTTCTTTTTTTTCTTTTTTTTTTCCCCCTTATTTTCTCGTTCCTTCACCTTTCGATTCACTTACACTGTTATATACTAGCAAAGTATCCCAGATTCTTTTTACTCTGACCATCACCTTTTCAACCCCACACCATACCTTCTTACTCCAATCACTCTCTCCTTCTTCTATGTACCATCCTATCCCACCACCGACCTTTAGCAATTTCCTTTCCGTCCATCCCCACCTCAATTCTAGGGTTTTTGATTGTTTTTCTTCTTTCCTTCTATTTTAAATTATTATTATTATTATTATTATTATAAAAAAAAAAACCCTTTTCCTTTCCACTTTTAATTCGTTAGGTTAGGCTGATCACTGTGCTTTCTGATCTCTCTCTTCTTTCCTTTCACTCGCACCTTCTGTTGTCTGTTCTTCGAATCTCTCTACTTCGTCTGATTCTAGTATATTTCTTCACAATCTACAACTTCACACGCACACGCGATCTCTCTTTCTCTTATGATGTGGATACTTGTCTGCCCGGTCGTGTTTTTCCCCTTTGCTTAGGAATCTCAATCCTATCATTACTAATCTGAATTCAATACTATTTGTGTATTCATTGGGTGATTTCCCCTTTTTCTTCTTTTTGTTACTTGGAAATATTCTTCCCAGTGGGTGCGTGTGGAGGAGAATAGTGATTGTTAATGGCATACCAATCGATTCAGGGTCCGAGTTCGGGATCGAGTTCGAGTTCGGGGTTTCAACTATTGAACTCTCCTTTTGGCGACACCACTTATACCAAGGTCTTCGTTGGAGGATTGGCTTGGGAGACTCAGAGCGAAACCATGCGCCGTTACTTCGAGCAGTTTGGAGAGATTCTCGAGGCCGTCGTAATCACTGATAAGAATACAGGGCGATCCAAAGGCTATGGTTTCGTGAGTATCTTATTTATTCCATTTTCGCCTTTTATCAGTGTTTGCACTACCCAAAACATTAATTTCTTGTCATTCGAAAATTTTGTCGGTTTGTATGATCTGGATAGATACCCTTTTATTTTATCCAAAGATTCACATATACCAGCCTGCATTGCATTTGATTTACATTTACCATTGAATGACTTGGTTTCTATCTCACCTGCATGGAATTGGAGGGTATAGGTGACTTTCCGGGATCCCGAGGCTGCTAGGAGAGCCTGTGCTGATCCTACACCGGTCATTGATGGTAGAAGGGCAAATTGTAACTTGGCTTCTCTTGGCCGACCACGGCCCCCTCTCCCTTATGGTATATTACATCTAATCCTCCCCAGTTTTAATTAACTATGCAACTTCATTACCTTATCCTCTATCTTTTGTTGTTATGCAATACTACGCCTAAATGCGCATACTAAAATTTAATATTGATCTTGCTTTATCATTGCCGTCATCATCATTGTTTGTTGACATGCATATGTTATTGTGATAAAGTCATGGGCAGTGCTAGAAAGAGCTCGAGTGCTTGTATGCATGAGTCTCTCCTGCGCATTTTAAATTCTTATTTTTCATCTTATAAAACCTACACTCATCTAAAAAAAAAAAAAAAACTCATTCATCTGAAAGATGAAAGGTTCCAGTGTTTATTATCATTTCCTGATTTCCCTGAAGTCATCTGAACTCCTATGGACCACATTTTCTTAATTTTTCTTCTTTATGTTTCTGTCTGGTTAAGTGACATCTGTGCTTGCTATTTCTGATTGATCTTGCTTAACCAATCGTGTTAAGCCCAAGTTATACTATTCTTTCATTGATATGCATAGAAGTCTGCTGCAACATGCGCATTCCAGGTTACTCTTCCTACACTGATTACTTTTATTTTGTGCTTGCTTCTTTTGTCTTTTTATAGGACGGATAAGACCAGCGTCCCCTTATGTTGGAAGTTTGCAACCAGCCCGAGGTGCTTATGTTGGAGGCTTTGGCTACCAGCAACCGCTTTCCTATGGCTATCAACAAGGATTGGTTTATCCTCCTTATGGGTTAGTGGAATGTTTCTGCACATTATTGCAAACGTTTGATTTAAAGATTTGTTCTCGATGCTAATAATTATTCTCTTGCTTTGTCTTTATACTTGTCATATCTACACTTATATCTGCAGTATTGCAATTATTTAACTCATTATCAACTCATTTCATTGTTGTTGACCGTTAAATGATGGTGGTGACCACTAAATTCAACTACACGCATATACTTGCAAGGACCTGGTTTTCTTTTTCTTTCTTTCTGTGGCAAAATTCACATACCAATCACAATATGCAGCATCCTTGTGGTAGTGGTTAATTAGGAGAGGAAAATCCTGAGATATTTGGTCTTTACTCATTTACATGTCCATTGCATCTGGAAAACCTATATCAATTAGATTTAATAAAATAATTGTTTGCCATATTTGTCTCCATGCGTGAGGTGTTCCTAACTACATTTGCATTGTGCATCAGGATATATTACACCAGAATCATGCTATAGAGGTGATCTTTTCAACATTATATGTGGTTGTTTTATCTTTGCAGGTATACGACATATGGACCCGAATACATCTACCCACAGGTCTAATTAGATTTTTTAATTAACTTAGGAAGAGTGTTAGTGTTGTTTGTGCTCTGCTTACTTTTTCAATCTCTGCTTTCTTTTCTAACAGAATCTGTACAACCCATATATGGGTCAACAGTACCTTCAGATATATGGAGTGCCTGGAGCAGTTAATACAACTATTTATCCTTATGGACAATTGGGTCAAACTATTCCCAGCGGTCATGGTTATACAGCAATGCAGGGCTATACAGTACCTGGTCATCAGATTGTGCCCTACGGTGGATCCAATGTTAATGCCATGACAACTTCACCTATGCCTGCCATTCAAGCACCATATCCTAGTGGTACAGTTGTCTTCCCTAAAGAATTTCTTTTCGTGATTTAGGCTGTGCCTTTCTGTTGCCTTGTGAAAATTTGTTGTATTTGTCACATGTCTCGATTTAATATCTGCTGCCTTAATTTTCATGTGATTGAAAGAGTGCTGTAATTCATATTTGATGCAAGATTTTTCTTCTCAACGGCCATCTTTGATGGGTATTCTTTTGCAAAACGAATGCGCAAGGAACTATTTAAGTTAAACAAGCATATTTATGCCAGGAATGCATATACTTTTTATCTGTTAGTATATGTTTCTGCAAAGAGGTTAATAAATGAAAGCATTGCACGTGTAGGCAATTTCAGTTATCAAACCCAGATTTATGTACTGAATGTGGAATTTTTAATATCTGATAGAATGTGGAATTTTTAATAAAATATAGGTAAATGGGAGTTGTGAAGCATGGCAAGTAACTTATCTGTAAAGAATCCTTAATACTTTTTATATGGAGAAGTGTTGTAAGATGTATATGTTGAATGAGGCATTAAAACACCCATGCTGTATCTCTTGATTATTGAGAGAAAAACTTAGTTCTATGTAAATGGATGTGATTTGCAAGTGTGTTGGCTTTTCCAGGAATTGCTGCACAAGTTCCAGGCCAACCGCAATTTATTGTTCCTGCTCCTTCTCAGTTTATGCAAGGCAGCGGTCCTGACCAAACGGCCGGGTGAGGGGGCGAATAAGGTGAGCTATTCACCTTGCATCTTATTGTGCATGTCGTTATTCCCAGCATGAACTTATGCTTTGAAATCGCTCTGTTGAAGGTATCCTTAGTTTGCAGCAGGACTAAGAGCAGTGGATCTGCTACTTGAGTGGCGGGCTTCCAATCTAGCCTTGCAAGTTATTTATTTTGCATTCTAGAGGTATTGTTGCTTTGTTTTCTGTTGCATTAATGGTAGGGTTAGAACTTAGAAATGAGTTAAGCTGCACATTAGCATGCCAAAACTTAACTGGTTTCTTTTGGCTTGGTACGAGCTCATGAGCAATTGAGTTTAGCATAATTGGGCTCATTTATGCGGCGGCCTAGGGAGTGCTCAACTCATTTGCTTATGAGTTGTTTCGGTATGATTAAAATTTATTATATATTTATATTTGGTAGTACAAATATTATCAAATGGTGTTACCATTTAATATTTACTTTATGTTGTTGTATATGTATTGAGTCAGTTGCGTTATGTTAGTAAATACACATCTTACATGTTTTTTTTTTTAATTATTATAAGTTTGGAACTTTCTTGAATTTGGCTAATTATAAGTTGTAAACTGTATTTGTATTTTGTTAAAGTCAATTGACCTCATAAAGCTGGCGCCAATTAGCTCACGAGCCTGACTTAAGCTGAGCATCCGCTTGAAAATTTGCCTTACATCGAATCTGAGTGAGCTGTGAGATGAGTTAAAAATGCATGAGCAACCCTCTACTCTTCTCGGTTCATTTTGAGCTGTACTTAATGGCAAAAATAGCATTATAATTTTCAGAAAAGAAAATAAATTTAGTGGTTCAAGATGTCTTATGGTGGATTTTACATTCTATCAAGCTTATGAGGGTAATGTAGACATTTTCTGTCTCCTAAATTACGTAGAGACTTGCATATAGTATATATAGCCTTTGTTACTAGTGTTTTCACAATTCTTAACAAGTGCAAAATTAGATCTCCCATATTTCATTTTGCCATCGTTCTATTGGTTTACATTTGCACAATACATAGCATAAATGTTTTATTTTTGCTCACCAAGTGTGATAAGTCTGCATTCCTAAATGGATTGTTGTATGTTAGTCTGAAATTGAAAAGGTTGGCTTTGGAAACCGTAATATTCTTTAGTAGTGGTTTAGCTCTCAACAAATTTTATAATGTGCAGGTCATATATAGTCATGCTCACCAAGTTGTGTCTGAGTCGCTCCAGATGGTGAAGGAAACTGGAACGTGCGGGCTGCTTTTCCATTTGGACGTTTACACTAGTGTATTTATACCTTATACTACCAGTACTCAGGAAGAGTGGCGGTAGTATTGGATCAATGGTTGCTGGAATAGGTTTCTGGCATCCATGTAGGAATAAACTTGTGTAAAAAAAACATGTCTGAATCAAAATATGATTCTTTGTAGTCTCATCCAGCATTGAGTTTGTAGATAATCGTCAATGTTGGGAATTGTGTGACGATGGATGGTCCATCACATTGAATGTGATTTTTGTGCATAGTAGTTGTCAGAGGTTTCTGCCACAAAACACAGTGTAATTTTATGATTTTAAGAACCTGCCGTTTATGCAGGGTAGAACCTCCAGTATATTCCACTAGAGAAATTGCAGTGGTTCTATAGCGTTATGTTACCGTCATTCAGCACTTGGTCACCATGTTCAACATTTTCTTCAATTAATTTTCATCCTTCTTATCGCGGTGCCCTCTACATTAGTTATTACTTGTTGTAACATCTAATTTATTTTTCTTTTCCAAACACGTCGAATGCTTTTTAATCAATTGTGGATGGAGGCACATTAATCACAAAACGAAGGCTTTTAATCGCCAATTGGTTGGTGATATGGCTGGATTGTAATTTGGTTGCCTAAGATTTGTTTCCTACCAATGGTTATATGATAACCATGCGAAACTAATGCCACGATTGGTGCCGACCAATGTTGTAAAAATCGATTTTCTACATACATAGAAACCAAAGAAAATAGTAGAAACTTATATCAACGAAACGTAAAGTTTTTATTACTTAAAATTAAGATATAAAATTATATATATATATATATATATATAATATATGTATGTATAAAAAATATATATCTCATAAATCACTTCTTAAAATCTAATGAACAATTTAATATTTAAAAAATATAAGTCACATAATTATATAAAACATAAGTCCAAAAATAAAAAAAGAGAACAACTCCTACAATCAAATTTCAAAATATCCTAAATTATAACAATTCATTCAAATCAAACACATCATTTTGCATCATTTGCATGTCTTTGATGTCCTCTTCTCTTGCTTCTATAATAAGTTCATTTTCAATAAAACGTAATAGATTGATTCAAAACTCACCTCAGCTTGGTTCTCAAATTTTTCACCCGTGACTTCACCAGTTTCTTTCTCTGCAATAGTGAACTCGTGCGAGGGTTTCTCTCTCTCTCTCTCCCTCTCCAGATAACTAGAAAAAGATATTGTGCATTTTGATTTGGAAAAATGGTGTTATTTTTAAAAAAAAAGGGGGTCGTAGGTTAACATTTGACCCGATTCAGTTTTTTAATTTAAGTAAAAACGTAAAAACTTGTGTTTTTATTGTTTTTACAAGGTGTTTTTATAAATCTTTACTGAGGCGAGTTTTTACTTGCATTTTAACACATCACTTCAATAATAACATAAAAACTTGATAGAATTGCAGTAATGCCCCGGATTAGTTCAAAACAATTCATGAACAAACAAAAATAATAATCCACTGGAGTAATGCCCTTCCAATGAAAAAGGGAAAACGTACAACGCCAGAACAGAAACTCAGATGAAATCGATCAAGGTAAGACTTGGCAGAAGTTGCCTTCGTGAAGGTTTCGCTCAAATCGAAGAAGTCCAAGACAAAACAAAAATGCTCACCGTATTCACAAAGCCTTGCACAACAAATGTCAAGCACAGACGTAATTAGGGATTAAAAATAGGAGAAAGAGTGCGAAACAAGTAAGAGTAATTATGATAGTTAAAATTTTGATTTATCCCTATGATTTTATGTTTTTACTATTCTTTTTCATCAAAATGATGTTACCAATATTCCAAATGCTTTTATGTTTTTTTTTACGTTACGATGTTATGTTTTACGATTTTGTTATCTCCTTTCCGATTTTATGTAAAATTTCGATTTTAAGTTTTAACTACCTTGGAGTAATAGTGCTCTCTCAAAGTAGAAATGGGGAAGATTAGCAATTGTGTGGTCAAAGTAACGCTATTAACTAGGAGCGGAGCCACGGGCTAAGGTGGGTTATCGCCCCCTAAAATTTGAAAGAAAAAAAAAACCGAAGCCTAATAAGGTGAGAGAAGCAAGGAAGGTGAGGGAGCTTATAACTTTAAACATAGAAAAACAACAATGGCAATATTTTTCGGGCTAGTAGTGGATCCTCTCATCGAATCTTGAGGATTTCAGTTGTTGATTTTGGTATTGGAGCTTCTAGTTTGTTGAGTAATCATTCTCCTGTTATTGGGTATTTGTTGGCTTCTACGCTTTATTCTGCTTATTGGTTTGTTATGAAGCATAATTCGGTTTTGGAGGGGCGCAATGTGCTTTATTTTGGTGGCAAAGTATTTAAGACTTGTCTTATTGTTCATGCTTGTTGGAGTCCTCATATACTAGAAGAGAGCCTGATTTTGTCGGAAAGTGACTAGTTGTTCTTGTTTAATTTGGAACCTGATAGTTCAAGTGCGAAATTCAAGGGAAATAGATTGAGAGTACCATGGAATGATTCAGGTTTTTCCAAAAACGATGGATGCATGAGTTGTGAATGTAGTTAGCACCCAAGGATTTTGATTGTTGCACGTTCTGAATGTCATTTTTTTGCCTAACATGAATCCTAGCTGAGATGGTGGCATCTGCTATACTCTCTCTCTCTCTTCATTCTATTAAAAAAATTGCAGATTGGTTCATTCTGCTTGTTTTGATATTTAAAGAGGATAAAAATTGAAGCCTCATTAAAAATATGAAAATGAAAGGTTAAATTGCATTTGTTCTACTTTAATAGGTTATTTCTTTCTTTTGTCTTATTGGTTATCTGAAGTATGCAAAGAATGAAAGATGTTAAGTGTTTCCTCTAAGTTGTGACCTAGAGGAAAGTGATGCTATAAGAATAGAGATATTCTATTCAGATTTTAGAAACTCGTGCAGCCCCCTTTGGGTCCGCCCCCGTAGGTAATTCTAGAACCCCCATTTATGTACAAAATTAGGAGTATAGTAATTTCTAATTGAAAGTGGAAGTTATTAATAAAATATAGGTAAATAAATTGGGGTTTAATATATTCTCATGTTATATGAAAATATATTCTTTTCCTATATTTATAACAAATATGTGGGTCTCAATGAAATTATTTTCTCTTTCCTCTTTTCAATTGGACCCACATGTTTGTTATGCGTGTAAGAGAATAATATTGTTTTATGTAACATAAGAAGATATTAACTCCCAATTTATTTACCTATATTTTATTAATAACTTCCACTTTCAATCAGAAATTACCATACTTCTATGTTCCACTTTTAATGGGATAGAATCTAGTGTTTGATACCGGTTAAATTTTCTTGGCCTGGCTGAATTACTATATTGGCTCCGCCATTGTATAAAGAGTTATGTTCGTTGTTATTAAACCCAGATCGGACTAACCAGTTGGTCCCTTCAATACATTTGGGAATCATACCACTAATCGATCGAGTTCGATCATTAGATCAGATATCTTTGAGATGAATTCGATAATTAGATCAACTATCTTTGGGATAAATATATATAAGTTTTTTTTTTGGTAGTTGAATATATATAAGTTTAACTACTACACCAAAACAACGTTTGTTATTATGAATGGTTATTATTATATTTATTATATGGGGTTTGCATTCATCATTTTTATTTTTTTTTGGAGGTTACAAGGAATTGAACACAACACCCTACACTACACACACTCCTAACACACACACCCCACACCACTAGGCTAACCCTAGTGGTGCTTCATCATTTAACATGACACAAAAAAGTTTCCTACACGCAGAACATTTTGTGGGGCCCGCACTTTTTGAAGCAAAAAAAAAACTATGACACGCAAAATGAATCTCTATAACATTACACAATCACTTTTCCTACAACGTAACTCTTATTAAACCCTTCTTATATATCAATTTAAAAATTCAGTCCATCTAATGAAACCATCAACTCATTGACCCAGTTCCTGGGTTGAGACGAGCATCAATCAGAATTTAATAAAATTGGTTATCTTAATGGGAAATGTTATACTTACTACTTTTTTTCTTACTAACAAATCTTAATCGTTGATTTTCGTCAATATAACGATTATAATTTATTAAAAATTAATAATTAATTAATAAGTATGATCCAAAAAATTATAACTGTTAAATTAGCAAAAATTAACGATTGAGATTTAGTAATAAGAGGTAGTAAAAAAAAGATAGTAAGTATAACCTCCTTATATCTTAATATAATAGATATTTTTGATTTACCAAAAAAGTCATTAACTTAGTTTTCATATAAACGGAAATTAAAAATTAAAATAAAATTATTAACGTACAAACTAACTTATCCGAAGAAAAGTTTCGTGACTTCCATATATTACATTGCGATGAACTAAACTTTCGGTTTGTTCAATGTGTTCGGATAGTTACTTAAATATTAAACTAGTTTGATTATAGAAATAAAAAATTATGAAAAGAGTGTGCATTTAATTTTAAGGGAATTATTATTCTTATGCTATAGGAGATAGGGTATCTTATGTGATAGACTCAACATATGTGGGCTCCAATGATTTTTTTAAAAAGAAAAGAAAAGAAAAAAGGCAAGCACGGATATCGAAGGGTGAGTAGGAAAATTTTTCTATCTTATGCTGCATGAGACTAACTTAACCCTAATTTTAAACTTATATCTAATCGTATCTTAACTACGTAGATATTGGTTCAAGAAAAGATATATATATATATATATATATATATATATATATATATATATATATATATATATATATATATAGGCTTTTTGACCCTTTTGCCCCTAATTAAATAATTAATAACCAATTTGCCTCTCCCCCAGAACTATCCACCATCCTGCCCCCATTTAGTCGATTAAGTTGCACTTTTAATCGACTAAATGGGCTAAACTCAGAAATCATGAAACGCGAATTTTAGTCGACTAAAAACTCACCTTAATCGACTACATTGTTTGCACTTTTAGTCGACTAAGCGCATTATTTAGTCGACTAAATGTCGCGAAAAACCTATATCCAGACCTCTCTTGGTCTCATTTTCATTATATTCGAAATCAAAACTCCTCTCTTGGTCTCTTTCTCTTGTTTGTCAGCTGTGAACCTTCCAATCACCTTCCATTTCATCCCACCACCTCTAAGACATAGTAATTGTGAAATCATTGTCATTTTCCTTTATTTCTCAATTGTTTCCCCCAAATCCGAACCCAAAACCCTAAAATCCGATTCCTACCCCCAAAATTCGTGTGAAAGATGAGCTCAAGTCCAAACATGTATGTTACCATGATTTACTATGATGGAAAGCATTATGAAGGCCCCAACGGTGTTCAATTTGAAGGAAAAACGAAAATGTTGAAAATCAAACGAGGCACTACGTACAATGAGCTGAAGGGG